TGTAAGCAGCCAGTCCGTGCAGACAAGGAATCTTTTCATAATCCCACACCATGCAAGTACAAGTTTTGGCAATCAAGTTCGTCAAAAACATCTTCCCATTACTATCCTTGACCTCGTACTCTAGCTCATAACTATTAAGCTCCCGCACAGGTAGCGTTCGCGCAAGAACCCATAGATCGTGCAAGTAGTTCTCAACCAGAGGCACTAGCTTGGTACCCAATGATTGTGAAACAGCATCCTTCCGACGTTGATTACACCAATCGGAAAATGTCCTAATGATACAATCCAGCATTGGTATCAACGCCCACCTCCTTGCCTCTCTAAACACTTTGTTCATTGATTCCACGCTGTTGCTTGTGTCCAAGTTGTACCTGTCACGTGGGAAAAAAACCCTTGCCCATTTGTCTTTTTCAGTTTTCTCCTCCACATACGTGTAAGCTGAAGGGAACCTTAGCTTAAATCTTTCGTAAGCAGCATTGAAATCAGCCATTGTGTACATCTTTCCCAACTCCATAAATCTATGCCCGACTACATCTTTGTTGACGTTAGAAGCATGCCCTTTAACATTTTCCTTCAAATGCCATAAACAATGACCATGGTGAGCCTGAGGGTACACGTTTGCTATTGCAAATATCAGACTTGGATTTCTATCACTCATGAAAACCAGTTCAGAAGAGTCTGGTATAACGCTTCAAAGCATCTCAAAAAACCAGGTCCAACTAGCATGATTCTCTCCATCAAGTACTGCAAACGCAAGTGGATAGCAATGATGGTTAGGATCTTGAGCTTTGGCAAAAATTAGAACACCCCCATATCCGTTCTTCAGCCATGTTGCATCGACAACAATCACTTTTCTCATAACTGCAAACCCTTCAATGCAAGCTCCCAACGCTATGAAGAGGTACTTGAATTTACCTGAGTCATCCAATTTCACACTAGTTTTTGTTCCCGTGTTCATTTGCTCTAACATGTACAAATAGGTATACATCATCCTGTAGCTATCTTCCGGACTACCACGTGTATCACAAGAAGCCAAATTCTTTCCACGNAGACTTTTTAGTGACATAACGATAACATTCACTATATGCAGCTCTATCCACCATCTCCTGAATTGCCTTCTTACTTGGAAATTCGTCATGTTTATTGAGACTCAAACCATCGCCCCATTCCTCTATACAACTACTCCGTACTATTGCAGGTGGCTCTTCAACATACCTATCGGCGGTTGGATGTACGGTATCAGTCTCCGCAGCCGTTTCATTCTCCGCAGCCGTTTCATTCTCCGCAGCCGTATCAGTCTCCGCCGCCGTATCATTCTCCGCAGCCGTTTCATTCTCCGCACCCGTATCATTCTCCATACCAGTATCAGTCTCCGCAGCCGTATCATTCTCCATACCTGTATCAGTCTCCATATCAGTCTCCATACAAGTACCAGTCTCCATAGCACTCACCTAGTTATTCCCCTGGTTCTCACCAACGTACAATCTAATGGCATTAGGTCCAACTTCATGTTCCAATAGCTGCAAATCGTTGTAGTTCATACCAACAGAACTTTTACTCGCTATCGAAAGTTTATCTTGTGGTCTCGGTCCCGACCTTTCACTACTCTCCACAACCAAAAGACATCTTTGGTTCTCTTTATCGACACATCCGAGGTAAACATAAATATCGTCATCATCAGCAATAGTTACAGCTTTCTTGCAACGTATCACCATCGGAATGTAGCTCAATTTCAGTTTTTCCTTACGTTCATCCAACCCAAGCTTCTTATACATCTTTTCTTGTAACATTGACAACGTCACATCTTCCACTGATGCCTTCACAGATATACCATACATGCAGTCTTCATTGTATCCTGCCAAAAATATCGCACAAGATCAACACAGTTATACCAGTTGTTCGAGTTTTCCTAGTTATTCCACTTTTCCCAGTTTTCGAACAATAATCCAAAACACTAGGTTTCGAATCGCATCTATCAACGTTTAATTCAACCACATTAATGCATTTTATACCAAATCGCTATACTAATTGACCCATCAGATAAACAATGTCGTTGTGCATTGGTCCTGAGTTTACCTGCAATACCCAACTCCCCTCTATTTGCGCCGATGGAATGCTAGACCTCCGGAAACACTTTGAAAATGGAGGAGGAGGAGAGAAGCTGCGGCGACAGAGGGGGATGGAGCCCGGATGGGGGAGCTGCGGGGAGGAAGAAGAAGACGAGAGCCGTCGTCGGGTTTTTTTTTAGCTTTTCTCAATTAATTTTTTTTTATAAAACCATTAACCAGACTTCCCAAACCAACGGTTTTCAATCACAAACCCAACCCAATCACATTACAATTTTCGATTTTCATTCACCCCAAACCAAGGTCAGTTTAGTCTTTCCACAATTCATTAAAGAGTGATGGGTATAGGTGATTTTTATGGGTATAGGAGATTGAGTGATGAGGAGGATAGGTAAAAGAGGTGATGTCCCTCTGGTAAAGGAGGTGGCTGGAGTAAGCAAAAAGAGAAGGCGGAGGCGGAGCTTTGCGGCAAAGGAGGCGCCAGGAGTTAGGGTTTTTAGGTTTAATTTTTTCGGTTTATTTTTTAGATTACATTTATACCAATTTTGTTTTATCTTCTATATGTAAACCAGTTTCTATTTATAATCATTTGTAATTCAGTTTTAATTTATAAATATATATTTTATTTATAAATTTCAATTTCGATATAAAACATTTTAAAAAAAAATTTATATTTTTATTTTTAATATTTTAATATTATAAATAATAACAAAAATATATGCTATCATATAGTATTTAATTGCATAGAAAAAAATGCTATAGTATATAATAATAAAATCGCAGAACAAAAAACCGCTATCTAAAGTGCATGAACTACTATGACGGGTGATGATACAACGTTCCTTAAACTGCTGTTAAATCGTTAGATAATGTTTTTCGTCCGCTAGTAAAACCCATTTTCTTGTAGTGATCCGGTTAAATAACCATTTCAATTATAGGTATTATAATTTGTTAAAAGGTAATTTTAGGTTTAGCTGAACACATAATTCTAATCATGTTTTGTGAATTATTAGAGAGTTAATTATTTAATAAGAACTAAATTATGTTTACTGGCTATTTGAACAATATGATTTTTATTTTGTATCAATCTTATATATTAAAAGAGAAGTCTTGACTTCACTTCATGTGTGATATTTTAAAATAGACCATCTAATAGAATTTATGACATTACACTATTCAATCATTAATAACATTCATTAGATTCACTAATAACATTTATTGGGCTTATTAGAAATTTTTATTGGGCTAATAAAAATTAGATGATCCATTGGATTTATAGATATTATAATAAAATACATGTTTAAATTAAACTTATATAATTTAATATTGTAATAGTATAAGTTAATTATTTATATATTTTTGATGTTAACTTTAAAAATTATATAGTTTATTTTTAAAAATAACAAAATCATCATTTTATAACAATAATTAATCTATACTATATAATAATTAATCATCATTTTTGATATACACACCTTATATAATATATACCAATTCAAAAAATATATTTAAGACATTTTGTCATTTAACAAATACGGAAACATCACATATATTGAGGTGGCAGATTTTAATACATTGTACCAAGTGAAATTATAATATATATATATATATATATATATATATATATATATATAGTCAAATTTCATACATTATACTTATGGAATATAAGGATATTGCAATAATCCAAATTGTTAAACATGAAATTTAAAGATATAATATAATATTTAGATTTCATATTACTCTTAGATAACTTTTAATATTAATTGTTAGTATGTAATGTTTTGCTATAAATACATAAAGTTGTCACTAAGGAAACATCAAATCAAATTTTCTTTTCCAAATCATATTTATTTCGTTTTCATTTAACCCTTTAATGAAATATATTAGGTCATTTTGATTTTTGGATGCTATTTAGGAAACATGAACTCAAAAAAAAAATTTAAGACATTTTGTCATTTAACAAATACAGACACATGACATGTACTGAGGTGGCAGATTTTAATACATTGTACCAAGTGAAATTATAATATATTTAGTCAAATTTCATACCTTATACTAATGGAATATAAAGATATTGCAATAACAAAAATTGGTAAACATGAAATTTAACCATATAATATAATATTTTAGATTTTATATTACTGGTAACTCTTAATATCAATTGTTGGTATGTAATGTTTTGCTATAAATACATAGGATTGCACTAAGGGAAACATCAAATCATATTTTATTTTCCAAATACCAAAAACATGGCAAAAAACATGGAAGAAAACATGGAAAAAAAAAGCAGGGGTCGTCAGAGGATCAAAATGGCCAAGATGGAAAATAAGAGTAACCTTCAAGTTACTTTCTCCAAAAGAAGATCCGGTCTTTTCAAAAAAGCTAGTGAGCTTAATACACTTTGTGGTGCAGATATTGCCGTTATTGTGTTCTCATCCTGTGGAAAAGTCTATTCTTTTGGTCATCCAGATGTTGAAATCATGGTTAACCGATTTAAACATATTAACCAGCCATTTCCTAATCCAAACAACAACATGCCACTTAGTGAAGTGCAGCCGCATACTCCCATTCAACAAATGAACGACTTTCTTACTCAGGTGACTTCTTATCGTGATGTTCAATATTATAATCTTTTATATAAATCATAAAAACCGTGATGTTGTATTCAATACCTACATGTTAGTTTTAACAAATAACTAATATATTATATGGTGAATTATGCGTGTTTCTCTGTATATAGAATATAATTGTATACTGGCATGTAATACTGTAGAAATTGATGTCATAATTTATATACTTGTTGGTATTGCGCTATTTAAAGGTTCTTAACATAGGTATATAAGTTTTTTTTTAGGAATTGATTTAAGATGATACCAAATTTGATCTTTTACACATTTATTTGATAATGAGTTATTCTATATTTTCAGGTGATGGATGATTTGGAAACATCAAAAAAGAAAAATGAAGAATCAAAGAAAAAAAGAAAAAATTCTAAAGGACCTGAGAATTAGTGGGAAAATCCCGTTGAAGAAATTGACTTGGCTCATGCCCAAGAATTATTAGTTGGAGTGGAAAACACGAAAAAAGTTGTTGCAGATGAGACTTCCAATTTTTTCCAAGTTTTTCCCCATCCAAATTTCTGTGTCGGAAGTTCTAGTGGTGCTTTTTTTAGGGAATGTGGCTATATCAACCCTAATTTGGACCAGTCTGAACAAAGAAGAATGTTCAACGTGAGTACATGCTACAACCAGAACATGTATCCTCCCATTTATCAGCTACCGTATGGAAACAATAGTTATGCTGGAGGATATGTTCCAGATTAATACAACTTAAATTGCATGCGTGCGATTAATCAGTACCAGAACCAGAACCAGAACCAAAACCAAAACCAAAATCTGGGTTTTAGAGATGAAGGCATCTCCGAAAATGAACGTCATCAAGATGGCCATCCTCCTTATTTCTGATCTGATTGTGGCTGATCATTTCTATATGATCCAGTGGAATCTCGAGATTAAAAAAATATGTTTGATGTTATCCTCATTTCTTTTTAGTATGATGTATTTCTTTTCTTTCATAGTTTGTTGTGTTTTTCAGAGTTGGTTTGTTATTGGTGTCGTCGAGACTTTCATTGCTTTGAAAATCAAACTTTCTTTTACTTAATAACAATAATAATGTTTTTTTTAAAAAAAATTTCAATCACCACTACAATCTTTATATAAATTTATCAATTATATTATAAAAATATTATTTTTTAGTACTTGTTATTTAATATCCATATTGCCTACCATTTTTCAAAATTTTATTTTTAATATCTAAAAACAAAAGTTTTTTTTTAATTCATAACTTATATTAAAAATGGTAAATCTACAATTTAAATTAGTGGCACTTAACATATTTTATTTAAGAATAATTTTTTAGGTATAGAATAATAGTCATTATTGTCTCCATAACTTATAACACCAAGTAACAGTTTTTAAAGTTAAAATCTTAACGGTCAAAAGCAGTCGTTATCAGTCGACGTTTGAATGTTTGTAACGACACATTGTCTAGTTGATACACTTTGTGTGGACAGCAGTTTTTTAGACATAAATAACATTTCCTTTTGATACCAAGTATAAATGATTTTGCCTTACATTTTATTTTGTATCCAAACAAATGTATAATACTACACCATTTTATTAGTTTCATAACTTATATTGATAGAATATTAAGACTATAAAATTTCTGAAATAATGAATATTAAATAAACTATAATAAATAGATGAAACAAAATTGTACATAGAATATTATATGTTGTTGAGTGATTCATCACAATAGTACAATGTATATTTTATTTATTTTTATTTTTGAAAATAATGAAAACAAAATATAATATAACATGTATGTTTTGTTTTCTGCTATGTGATCATTTTTATAGGAAAAATAATTTAATCCAACGGTTGAGTTTATCATAATTTTGTAGTCTAACGGACAAATTCTTCTTCTTTTTTTTATAGAAATCTGATATCATCAAACCATTCTAGCAAAATACATATTATTTTAACGTATCTTTTTACACACCTCTTTTAGTTTACACCATATTTTATGCCTCATTTAATTTATGAAGAACATATCCTCTTAATTCTTTATATACATCACCATCAGTGTCAAATAGTAAAATTTCTAGATATTACCTTCATAAACAGAATTATAAATATTTTGACAATCGTTTAAAAACTAAATATATATATATATATATTTAGATGAAAAGATAACTCTTTCAAAATCAACAAAATTTAGAGGATGATAAGACACATCAATAAGAAATATTAAAACTTTTTTTAAAAAAACAGTACATTGATAAGGATGAAAAAACACATTGTGATTTTTTATGTTTTCCAAATATACCCTTATATCTTATATACAAATTTAATTTATCATTAATGAAATTTTTTCATTTTTATTTGAGCTTAAAAATATATAATAATAGGTTTCATTAATGGGTTAAATCTCTTTCAAGTTTTATAAAACTTTTCTTGCAAAAATATATTTTCTTTGCGGGTCAGACGGGTCAAATTTTTTAGTCGTAAAAATGACTCAACCCGCTGCAGAGCGGGTTGAACGAAGCGAGTTTGACCCGCTTCCCAATATCAGGCGTAGTTAACTTATATTATTTTTCTCAAATAATACTACACAATTATATACAATACTTTTACATAGATATTAATGATAATAATAAATTAAAATCTGCATTAATTTAAAAAAGTATATTAGATAGTGAAATTTTGTAACTAAATGACTTTAGGAATTAATCACAAAACTAAAAAAAATGAGTCATTTAATTCTTAAATATACAATCTTTCTCAAGTACAAATTTGAGGTACAACCATTGTTAATATATTTAGAAACATTAAAAATTTGTCTGAGATATTTTAAAATAAAAACTTCTTTATACCAGCATGCTAACTTGATTTTGATTCTGTGACATTTTATATCATGAAAGCAAAAGACTTATCGATATATGTATAGATAAAACAATAAAAATAGTATCCGCGCTTTTTAAATGCGGATCAAAAATCTAGTATTACCTTAAACCATGACATTCACAAATTATAATAATAAAAGAATTACATGTAATAGGTTGGTACTACGTACTAGCTCGACAATTCATGGCATCTTAAAACGTGAGTTTTATCAACTAAAAATTCAGGTTATTTAACTAAAGTTACTTTTTTTTTGGACAAACCAAAATTACATTTTATTTCAAGTCTGTATTGCATTTTATTTTGATCCTTAAAAACTATATTGAATTATTTAGTATGACTATATTAAAAATATAATATTATATACTAATTTTCCGAACTTAATATTTGTTACAAAATAAAATATTAAATATAGCATAATATATATACATATATATATTTTATTTATTTTTGATCTACATTCAGTTGAGAAAATATATTTTTGTTAGTTATTCTTTACGTTTAGAAAATATATTTTCAAAATGCAACATTAAAAATCTTTATTCAGGATGTAAATAATCACAAACTATTATCCTTTTTACAACTTTAATGTGATGATCTGCATTAACTAACCAGCCAACTTTAATATAATATAAAGAATGTTAAATTAATATTATGGCTATATATTATTTTTGTTAGTTAATATTTTCGTTTCTACAATATAAGAAGAACACGTTTAAAATCTAGATTACAACTTCTTAAAATTTGAATTTTATCAAAATAAATTTTCTTAAAATTTTGAATCGATGGCATAAGATAATACTATATCTCAAGTAATATTTGATTGCAATCCATTTTTAATTCAATAATATATTCTTGCCTTCAAAAAATTGATAAAATCTTTGAAAAAAATATTTTTTTTTTTAAAACTACTTACAAAATATATGTATACATCTTGAAATTATATTTTACTTAATATTCTCAAAATTATAAATGTCAACCTATAATTTGGTAATTATTATGGGCCATTATGAAAAAAACAAATAGTTAAGACTAATAAAATCCAGCACAATGTATATTAACTTAATAATTTCCTTTCAAATTTATTAATACAACCATGTATATTTTTAAATTAGGTTTTGGGGTTTCTATATTTCATACACTAAATTATTTAATATATGCCTATTAAATTTGAGTAATTAAAAATAAAATTTCCTTAATAACAAACGTAAATGCAGACGTTTGTGAGTTTGGTGTTGATATCCTTGTTATTCCACCTCCAACCAAATGGAAAATCGTCTCTTTTGGTGAGAAATTTCCTTTTCCCAAGACGGGATGAGGTAGCTCGTTTGGTAAGGACCTTGTGAGCCAATTGTCATGCTCACGGGTTCGACGCTAGGCGGAGGGGAACTGCCGAATCTTGTCACCAAATGAAGTATTGGATGTTGGGCCTTGTCCTCAGCTCAGGTAAAACCCTCCTGAGTGAAGTGAACTGCTACCTGACCGGACCCAAGGGAATGACCCACGAAATGGGGAACCCCTGAATTATAAAAAAAAAAAAAACTTCCTTTTCCCAAGTTCTCTTGGACTGTTGAAAATTTCTCTAGGATAAAAGAGAATCCTCTTGAATCAAACATTTTTTCAATCGGAGGAAGGAAATGGTAAACTTACAAATGCGTAGCTCTGTCTACTATATATAAAGCTATGAGAGCTTGTATAGATAAGAGATTAACAAGTGTCAAATAAAATTGTGTAGGTTACTAAAGTTGTATCCCAAGGGATATTCTACACCAAATGATAAATGGGTATCCATAATTTTGTACCAAGATGTTGGTGAAATTTTAAAGGAAGATGAGAAGATTTACTTGGAAACAGATCTGGATGTTGAAGACCCACGTGGATCCAATCATCTGGCGCGCAACTGTATGTTGTGAAATAGTAGAACTTACATTCTTATTATGAGCTTTCCGTAAATTAACACGAGCTTAGAACATCAACATTAATAAACTCTTTTTGGAATTCAAATTTTATTTTTTTATTATTAAATTTTTATTATTAATTTTTTTTCTGTTTGATTTGAAAAAAATAAATAATAATCGAATCAATAACGGACCGTCACGTGTCGTAAACCCCACAAAACAGTCATGAACTCACCAAAAAAGAGGTTAACCGGAGAGAATTCAGGAGTGACAGGTTCATGAAAGTTCGATTATTTTAATATTTATTTTTCTTGGCAAACGTGTGTACTCCTCATTTGATCACATGCTCTTATATCTTATAACCTATTGCATTACACATTTTTATATTGCAGTTAATTGGTGGCTCTAAATAGCAGGAAAGGGGTATGGTTATGATCACTTAGTATCTTTAACTAATCTTCGAAAGCTATATTTGGACAATGAAGACACTTTGAAAGTAGGGATCGAGTTTAAAGCTATGACCAAGTACTCCCCCCCCCCCCAACTGTAGTTCAACCGGAAAAGCACAAGGGAAGAGGTCAAAAGTAACAGTAGAGAATGGACATGTTTTGGTCCTCAAAATGAAGGGTGCTTAAATGCTTCTACATTATCTTTAAACTTCTTTAGTTTCTGTTTTGTTTTGATATTATTTGCCGACATTGGTTAAAATGAATTTGTTTTAGTTTAGTTTGATCACTTGTTTAATGATCACTCTTTTATAAAAAATTCTATGTTCATAAATATTTTCTGTTTGGTAAATAGTAATGTCATATTCGCTTAGAATTTTCTCGCGAGGATGACAGGATGTCATGTCGGCTTTCACTATTAACTCTTTCATTTGCATAAACTGTTTTCGACCAATTCTATAATGATAGTTATTTCATATAAGACCATTTATAATGGCTACCTATTTTTTTCTCTATAATTTACATAAAAATAGAGTAATTTTATTATAGAGTAATTTTTGTTCTAAGACTATCTCTAATAGCTACCTATTTGTTCCTCTATAATTTACACAAAAATAGAATAACTTTATCATAAAGTAACTTTTGGACTATTAATTTACTCTATAATATGGTACTCTATTATAGTATGGAATACTAAGTAATGTCATTTTTCCACTCCAAATATAGAGTGAAAAATAACATTACTCTATATTTTACTCTATAATAGAGTAGATTATTGGAGTAAAATTTATTCAATAATAGAATTACTTTCTTTTGGTGTAAATAATAAAAGAAAAAATAGGTAGCCATTAGAGATGCCCTAACAAAATACAACTACTCTTTTGCTATTTATTCTAAAGGGTATTTTAGAAAGAGTGGCCTTTTTCTTACTATATGAGTTAAGTATCTTATAGACTTTGTGGAAAACCAATTATTTATGTTCTTATAGTTAAGTACACTTTTACCTTTCAGTTTAACCAATTACTTGTGTCCATGCCACTCTCAGTTTTAGATTTGTTTCAAGTCCACTATTATCACAAAAAGGAAAAAAAAATAAAAAAAAATTGCACTCAATATACAAAAAGAAGGGAACAGAAATTTAGCCTTCTTGTCCTTTTGGTATAAACTAACTTGATTATCTCCCTATAGTATAATTTTTTTCATAATCCTAAAATTAACCCTTAATTAATTTAATTAAATACACAATTTACAGTTTTAATTGAATTTTAGTGAATTCATAAAAGAAAAACAAAAAAAAACAAAAGGGGAACACGCTCAAAATTCCCCAAAATCCTAAAGGTATTTCATTTTCTATGCCTCTCTCTCTCTCTAGACGACTACGAAGGCGATTCTATGGTTTCTCTAGTAAAATTAACGGCGGGACCGTCCATAATAGAGGAATCAAGTCTCTCTCCGGGGGAATCTCTTTGTCTCTCTCAGACACCGCTTGGCACCAAAAATACCCATCCCGTTGTTGCACTTAATTCCCTTACACCATATGTCGTATAGAGCAGCATCATAGAAGAAGAGTTTGTAAAAATTACAAGAAAGTGGTAAGATGTTCTGTCCTTGTCGGAAATGTTGCAATACAAAATTAGGCCCTCGTGAAAATGTTTGGAAGCATTTAATAATTAGAGTTTCATGCCATATTATTATATTTGGTATCAACATGGAGAAGACGATGCTAGTTGTAGGAATGAAGGTAGAAGTAGTAATAGCAATTTTCAGGTTGAACCGGTTGATCATTTGCGTAATGAAAATAGCTATCATTACCAAGAGGAACAAATGGTAGATTGTGATAGGGTTCATGATATGGTAGGTGATGCATTTGTAACTCATGATGATGATGAAGTTGAAGAACTTAACTTAGATGCAAAAAAGTTTTATGAAATGTTAGAAGCTACGAATGAGCCAATTTACAGTGGTTGTAGAGAACGTCTGACTAAATTGTTGTTGGCTGCTAGAATGATGAGTATTAAAACCAATCACAATCAACCTGAAAATTGTATGGATGCATGGGCAGACTTGCTGATCGACCATGGATTTTACCCATTTTTAGCCATGGTCTTTAGGTGTTTTCATATATATTTACTACAATATAGAGTCTATTTAGAGTATTTACAGGTTCAGGTACGTTCTGGAAAAATATGGTGATTTTGGTGTCTTTTGGAGCCTTTAAGTGTGATTTAGCTGATCTTTGGACAAAAGATAGAGCTTTGAGTTAGTTTTCCAATGCCACCATTTTGGGGTCAATCCAACGGTTAGATCAGAAGTTATGTCCGTTTTACTGAACAGTGGTCAGTCTGCCTCGCGAGAGAAGGCTGTCGAGAGGAGGAATGTATATCGATCGATGGGAAAAACTTCATATCGATCAATATGGATGCCAGAATGCGGGCAGAGTATATTTCATAACCAACTAAATCCCAGAAGAAACCTAAATTACTAGAATGCCCTTGGACGACCATAAACCCTATTTATGTGATTTGCAAGCCATTGTTGACGGCTATGTTTTCTTTTTCATCTTTTGTTTTATTGTTCTTAGTTAGAGAGTTGGAGAGAATATCAAATCTCCTTCAGAGATTGATTGGAACTCCATTGGAATTATCTTTAATTTTTTATTCTATTATTATTCAGACTATGATTTTGTGTTTCTTCTATCATGTCTAAGTAGTTCATCTTGTTAGGTTTAGGGATTTCATGAGCTTAATGTTTAACTGAATATCAATTAGGATTGCTAGAATATCTATAGATCTCTACACCAGGGTGATTTGTAATACTAGGATCTGGAGTAATTAGGATATCATGAAAGTGCGACTGATTGCTTGAACCTAGAATTATAGGACAATTGAGATGCACTAAAGTGCAGTCAATTAATGGAACCCGAATCCTGCTGGATTAGATACTTAGGCGCATATGAGAATTGGTCTAGGAATCTAGTTGAATAATATCGATTTGATCGTTAATGCTTGTCTGAGGTAATATCGATCGACGCTCAGGCCATAGCATCGATCGATACTCATTTCTTGTTTGCATGCGAAAGCTGGAACAAGGACTTAGACATCTGATTTGTAATTGCATTGATAAATGGATTACTTAGTTATTAAAATCGAGTTCTAGAATGAATCTATAAGCTATTAGCATCTTGAATTGTAGTTTTGAATCTCTTGATTGATAAATCCCTATGTCTAGCTATTTCTCCTTATTGTTCACATTGCTTTTATTTATTGTTTTATAAACTGTTCACCTAGCTTAAGTTTGATTTCTATAGTCTATTGTGTGCTCCTGCTCTCTGTGGATTCGATCCCTAAGTACTACAATTGAATCTCGTATTTGAGAGAGTAATTCACTCCTTAGGATTAAACATTTGAGTGATATCAAATTAGGCGTCGTTGCCGGGGAGCTTTGATCGCCATTAGATCTAGTTTAGTTAGATTTAGTCTAGGTTTTGTTACTGTTTTTAAAATACTGATAATTTTTTTTTTCTTTTTTAGGTACATACATCTCAGTACCAGAAACAATGAAGAGAGGATTTCTAGTTCCTTCAAGGAAGGAGCCTGATGGTTCACGCTTATCGATCGACACCCTCCAAACAGAATCTATCGACAGCGTACACCAGACATCGATCGATAAGGCACACCATCAATCGACCGCCAAAGACTCGCTGGGAGCAGGTAAGTTTTCTGTTAACACATATGTTAATCAGAAAGTAGTCCAAATTAAACCAATAGGTAAAATAAGCAATGCAATTAGCCAAAATAAAAATAAACATGGGACCAAAATCCCTGTTACAATCCATTCCACCTTGAATAAAGGTGAAGAAATAAAATTCCCTTTGCAAAGCTATAAAACCCCTGTTCCCCTAAAATCGATCGACACGGCTCACACCGTGTCGACCGATACTGCCCACCCGAAATCAATCGACACGGTACATCCCGTGTCGACTGATACTGTTATCCTAAAATCGATCGACACCGCTAATCGTGCGTCGACCGATACTGCGTACACGAAATCGATCGACACAGCTCACAACGCGTCGACCGATATTGTTCTTTCAAGATCGACCGACACTGTTTGCGGAAAGGAAATAAATTTTGACTCCAAGCTGAAACTTGAGTACATCCCTATTATAAGTCAGCATCTCTTTCATGGTTATCATGACGACACCAATAGTTCATACTGATATGTTTGAAGACCTAATCTGGTCAATCTTTGATGAAGTGCTTGAAGACTACAACTTCTGCAAACTATTTCTATTCACTCTTGCTGGGGAAGCAAGACGTTGGTTCAAAGAGTTGCCACCAGAGTCCCTCTAAACATGGATTGATATCGCGGAAGCCTTCTTCAACGAATTTCTCTATGACACTCTAGAAAATCTAAAAATGGAGTCAACAACGTGATATGTGGTGGAGGATGATGAACAAGAAAACAATACTGGTGATATGACGTCTACATCGGTTGACACCATAACTTCTACATCGACCGATGCCACGATCTTTCTATCGAACAATATCGTTCACCC